TCTCTCTGGTGAGCAAATTCAAATGTGCCTTCTATAAAAAATCTCTCTTTCTCTCTCTCTTCCTCTCAAAAAAAAAAAAAAGGAAAGAAAAAGAAAAGAAACTTAAAAAAATATTTCTGACATTTTCAACTATGATAAAAATCATTCTACCAGCATCATTTGGAAAAAAAAAAATCAATCTTTATCTAATATTTACTCACAACCAAAAGCCATTCCTGAACATCTGTGCAATATTACTTTGACACAGATGGTAAAATAGTTATTAATAAAATAGCACATGTAAATATTTGGATCCATTTCAGTAGAACTAAGAAAGCCACAAAACCATCTTACAAAGTAAATTTTCATTGCTGACTCAATGTTCATTTTACTTTGCACCAAAAGTGCTGCAATTTTCTCTGGTAGTTTTTGAAATGAACAAGTAGCATTTATTTTCAAGTCCCTTCAATGTAGTGGGGAGAGGAGTTCATTTTCATTTCATAGCAGGCCAAGATCCACTTTTATCTCTTTGAATTATATACAGTTCTGTATACTGCTTGGAAACTGACAAGGTCCAGTCTCATAAATGCAACTTAACTTCTCTTTTCAAAGAATAAACAAAATAAAAGGAGAAGAGAAATGAAAAATATCTGAGTCTTCCAACAGCATATCACATATCAACTTTTTTAGGAGTCTTGATGTCTTACAGATAAATTTAGAAGAAAACATTTCTATAGACATCCAACTGTTTTTTCAACTGTTTCATACAACAGTTCTTTTAAGATGTTTTGTCATTGTGACTTTTCTTGCACCAGTTTCATTTTAACAATCTGAAATTCCATCTTCTTGCCTCTTAGACCATCAAACAGGTTCTTGTTGTCTGTTAAGGCAGTCTAGAGTAACGGAGAGGTAGGACTAGAAGATGAAAAGCCTGGGATTGAGTGATTATCAGATTTGTGTCACATGAGTTCTATGCTGTCTGGTTTGGAGGCTAGTGTCAGTCAGTCTATAAACTGTTCTACTGCAAGAGGAGTATGAAAACTGAGAGAAAGCATTAGGGACAAATGTGTAAGAGTTTGTATATTTTGTCTGCTTTTTAATAGTTTTGAGCATTTCATTTGTCTACTAATTAATGTTTAGTAATTGTACAAAGACAGTCTACAATGTATTAAAAATAAATGGATTCTTAACTATACAGAGTCTAGAAGCACTGGGCTCTAAGACAACCCGTAAGCCAGATAACCTCTAGGACCTCCATTTCTCTAGCTACAAAAACATAAGTAATGTTCCCTACCCTGTCTTCTTTGCACAGTTATTTTTAAACAGAAGTACACATTCATAAGCTGTGTGTAAACTGTATGGTCTTATATAAGTATACAGCTTTCATATTCTACGTACCAATCATTAGTGAAGTAGCACAGCATCTCAGATAAAAGAAACATGGCATATATTAGGTGCTCAACAATTGTTTGTTGACTTTGTGAATAAATTTAAGAACCAAACTGTGGTATCTGACAGAATTGCACTCAAAAAGGTATGTGTGATATAAAGGCAAATAACACAATACCTTCTTAGCACAGTTTCTTCTCCTAGTAATAAAGGTTATTTTAACTTCTAACTTTAAAGGCTGTATAAGGATTAAATCACATAGCAGTATTTAGTACTTGGCACTTTGAAAGTATTCAGTAAGTATTAGACTTATAGACTTATGCTTAAAGAATAGAGGCACCTTTCACAAAGTCAGATATCGCTATTAGAACCACATCTGTCTATAACCAAGTTAGTGTCTTTCCACAGAATACTATCATACCTCTCTAAGGTCTTCCAAGTCATGAAAATAAATTTCACAGGTTACAATTTAAATGCACTCTCATTTTGATTTATTCACCACAGGGATATTTTTGTAGAAGAAACAGGGCACAGATTTCCTGACACCTAGAAAAAGAGACCTTCAGATATTCTCTTTCCACTTACCAGTTTGGATTATTGGGCTCCTCATGCTGGTGGTGGCCACTTGCAGTGCTTTGCTCTGAGTCTCTTCTCATAACCCTATTTCAAGGTTGCAAAAAAAAAAAAAAAAAAAAGGACATGAGCTTGCTTTTATAAGGATCTCTATATATTAATGACCACAATAGAATTATTTTACCTTTGCATAGCACCTGTTATATAAAGTTTTTAAAGAAACACGATAGGGAATTAGTCCACTCTACATGCTGGGAATTTTCTTTTCTTTCTTTTTTTTTTTTTCTTTCTTTCTTTTTTTATTTTTGGAGAGTTTTTTGCTATAGGGTGCATGCGCTCATCAGAAAGATGAGACAGAAAGCGAAAAATCACCCTCCAGGGGGAATGGCCACGCTGCAATTCCTTCTCCTCCATTCTCCTCTCGGGATCTTGGGCATGCACGCACATGTGCCTGGCAAGAGTTTAAGCCACCAGGTTCTGGACTTGAACCACGGTCGACTACATGGGAGTCCAGAGACATAGCCATTACCCTAACTGCTGGTCCCCACATGCTGGAGATTTTCTATTTTGAAGACAAGTATGTTGTCATGTTTATCTTGGAATTCACAGAATATGACAAAGTATCTACTACCTAGGTATTCATCAAATTATTTTATCATTTTATTAAGAGGACAAATTAGACTCATGTTCAAATCCATTAATATATTTGCAAGCCCATGTACTTCAATTCCAGAAGGCAAAATAGTATTTTACTATAATGTAGTTGTTTGCAGAACAGAAGAAAATAGACGAAAGAGAAAGAACCTTTGCTGAATCAATAAGCCTGCCACTTAAAGGTGAAACTTTGAAAATGCAATCAGTATGCATGTTACCGAAAATTCTATGTGGTTTCAGTATTTAATAATTATTGGAAATTGGGGACAAAAGTTGGCATAATGGCTATGTCACTGGATTCCCATATAGTTGACTGCAGTTCGAGTCCTGGATCTAGTAGCTTAAACGCACGCCGGGCATGCGTGTGGGTGTCCCCAAGATCCTGAGAGGAGAATGGAGGAGAAGGAATTGTGGCATGGTCATCCCTCCTTGGGGTGTGTGTGTGTTTTTATTTCTTTCTCTCTGTCTCTCTCTGTCTTTCTGGCTAGAGCACATGCCCTATAGCAAAAACCTATACAAAAACATAAAATAAAATAATTATTGGAAAGATTAAAAAATTTAATATAAAAATAGTCCTGACCAATTTATTCAAGAAAATTTAAATACAGTCAATTAAAAACTGGAATATGCTTTTGAATCAATTATAAAGTTGCAAAAGAAAATTAGATTCTTTTTAGAATTAGAATGTGACTTTTCTGTTTTCCTTATTATTTCCTTCTTATCCTATTTCCCAACTATATACAACTCCCCTATGCAATACAGAAAAAAGAAGAAAAAATCAAGATGAAAACTCTAAGTTGAGGGAACCAGCAGTTAGTATAATGGCTATGTCGCTGGACTCCCCCGTAGTTGACTGTGGTTCGTGTCCTGGAATGGGTGACTTAAACTCACGCCGGGCACGTGTGCGTGTGTGCCCAAGATCCCAAGAGGAGAATGGAGGAGAAGGGATTGCGGTGTGACCATGTGGTTGATTTCTCGCTTTCTGTCTCTATGTCTCTCTCTGTCTGTCTGGCGAGCGCATGCGCCCTATAGCGAAATCCTCTCCAAAAAAAAGAAAACAAACTATAAGTTGAAAAAAACAGTAAAGCTATTCTAAGATAAATTTCATTCACTCAAAAGAGATGTAATGAGGTGAAATGATTTCTTAAGATAATTAGAACATCGATCACTTTTCTTCCAGCCTCTCATTTGTGTATCAGATTTTCTACCTGACATTGCCACTTTTGTGGCCAATATTAATAGCAATAATTATTATGTATTGCTTATAAGGTATCAGGAACTCTTAGCATTTTATATAAGCATGACCTAATTTAAAATTTACAAGTTAGGGCAAGTATCAGTACCATCTCTATTTTCACAGATGAGGAAAGTTAGGATCAGTTTAAGTGAATTATTTAATATTCACTGCTAATAAGCAACGGAATAGGATTTGAACCCTCTTTAGAGCCATTCTCTGTCTCTTTCCTTTTTTTTTCTTTTGGCCAGAGCGTGTTTATAATTGCCAAAGAGAGGAGAGCATGGGGGAGGAAACAGTTCTTGTGAAGCATGGTCACACCTCATCCATTTCTTCATCCTGTTGGGATCTGGGGCACACATGGACATACACCCAGAATAGTTTGCATGCCACTGGGGCTGGGATTCAAACTGATTACTCAGCCAAGTGGCACTCGGCTCCCTTAACCACCAGCCTCTGGGGCCAGTCCAGAGCCTGTACACTTTATCTCTAAAGTATTCTATTACCTTTCAAATGTAACTGAAAACTGGTTTTTTTCCTGGTATTTCAAAGTAGCCCTCCTCCAATCATATACTAAAAATAAATTTTAAATTTATTTAATTGTCTATTATATCTCTTTCCCATTGGAATCTCCATGTTGACAGGAAACCAGCACAGATTAGCACTTAAAATTTTCTGCTTATGGGTGACGTGGCGGCTAAAACACAGGATCCCACATGGCTAACTGCCTGTTTCAAGTTCCAGATCCAGTGGCTTGAAAATCATTTTTGGTGTCTGTGCATGCATGCCCAAAATCCGGGAAGGAGAATGGTGGTAAAGGGATTGTGGCATGGCTACATCGCAAGGGAGGATGATTTCTCACTTTTTCTCTATATCTATCTCTCTCTGGTGAGCATACATACCCTATAGCAAAAAACTAAAATAATAATAATAATAGTAATAGTAATGATAATAAATTTTAAAAATTCTGCTCTCAAATATATTGATGAATGGATAGATGTCAAAACATATTCTCATTATTAATCTTATTAACTAATTGGGCAATGACTGATATATTGTAAATTATGTGAATGCATAGGCCAGGTTAAAATATTTTGAGATTTTTCAATCACCTGGGTCCTCTCTCTAGCTATAACCAATGACAAGCCAAAATGCGAACCAGTGACTATCAAATAGCCTGAAGAGAACTTGTACAATGGGACTCCAGCATTATTATTTGAAGGCGTACACTTCGGTTTTGTTCCCACAAAACATTAACACGTCAAGTTTCTGTTTCTCCAGCAGCACTTTTTTTCTTAGCTAAATCTTTTTGCTAAAATGTATGCAATCCTGTTCATTTGAATTTCCTAGCTTGTTTCTTTTTTCTTCATTTTTATCATTATTATTTAGAGAGACACTTTTTGCTAAAGGTTGCATGTGCTCATCATAGAAACAAAGAGAGACAGAAAGACAGAGCATAAGATATCACCTCCCAGGGGTGATGGCCATGCCACAATCCCTTATTCTCCATTCTCCTCTTGGGATTTTGGGCACAAATGCACACACACACACCCAGCATGAATTTTTAAGCTGCCACATTCAGGACTCAAACCATGGTGACCATGTGGGAGTTCGTCAACTTAATCATTATGTCACCTGGTAGTCCCTTTATTATTATTTTTAATTTTGATTTTTATAAAGCAAAAAGCAGAGATATTTTTTAACAGAGAACTTTATATTCTTTTGTCAATTAAATGTTTCTTCTCTTTATCCTTCCCAACCAGCCTCTACCAATCACACTCTACCACCCACTCCTCTCTCTTATAGTCTGCGTTATCTACACTTATCCTTTCTACTATCATAACTTCAGCTCTTCCAATTTCTGTTATAGGGTGCAGACATTCTGTACATATTGAGTGGGAGATATACGGTGTCTTTATTTCAATGTCTGACACACTTCTCTTAACATTAAGTCCTCTGTATTCATCCACTTTTTTTTTTTTTTAGAGGTTTTTCACTGTAGGGCACGTGCGCTCGCCAGACAGACAGAGAGAGACATAGAGACAGAAAGCGAGAAATCACCCCCCAGAGGGGATGGTCATGCTGCAATCCCTTCTCCTCCATTCTCCTCTCGGGATCTTGGGCACGCATGCACACGTGCCCGGCGTGAGTTTTAAGCCACCGGGTCCGGGACGCGAACCGCGGTTGTCTACGTGAGTCCAGCGACATAACCATTATGCTAACGGCTGGTTCCCTATTCATCCACTATTAATCAAGGATAGGGTCTCATTCTTTCTTATGGCTGAGTAAATTCCATAGTATAGGCCATATATACCACAGTTTTTCAACCTAGTCATCAGTTTTTGGACACTTAGGTTGACTCCATGTCTTAGCCAATTATGAATAATGCTTTAATAAACATAAAAGTGCAAGTATCTTTCTGACTAAGTATTTTCCTATCCTTTGGGTAAACACTAAGGAGTAGGATTACAGGGTCAAATGACAGTGCTGTTTGTAAGTTTACGAGAAAGCTTTAAATTGTTTTCAACAGAAGTTGTAGTCATTTACATTCTCATGAACAGTGTAAGAGGGGTCCCTTTACACCAAAGCCTTGCCAGCACTATGGGTTTGTATGTATGAATGTATGTATGTATTTATTTATTTTATCATAAAGCATTGCTTCTTAAGTTTAAAGTCTATGTGAGTTACACCAAGGTTTATATGCACATTTATCAAATAGTACATTTTTGACTCAGTAGGTCAGAGTGGAGCTAGTCTTTGTTCATCGCAAACTTAGGCTATGCTGATGATGTTGGTCCACTAACAACACTTTGGGTAACAAGAATTCAGAAGAGAGTAGCAATTCTGAATGGTTTCAGAAAAAGTACTTCAATAACTCATGGCCGTGTGTGTGTGTAGGGGGGTGCATGAGTATGTTGTCTATGTACAAAATAAAAATATAATTAATAACATTTTTAAAAAGCCTACATTATCCTCATCCTACAAATGTCATTATTTATTTTAATTTATTTTTATTATTTATTCTATTTTTAATTTATTATTTATTTAATTTATTATTTTTGGAGCTGTTTTTGCTATAGGGTGCGTGTGCTCACCAGAAAGACAGAGAGAGACAGAGAGACAGAAAGCGAGAAATCACCCCTCCAGGGGGGATAGCCAAGCTGCAATCCCTTCTCCTCCATTCTCCTCTCAGGATCTT